GGAACAGAAGGCACTCGGCTGCTCCTTCGTCACTCCCCATCTCACCTCGGTCCCCTGCTTGCCCGGCTAAAAATCTCAGAGTCACTGTGGAGTTCTCTTCCTCCCTCCTCCCATCCAAGTAGCTCAATCACCAAATTCTATCACTTCTCCCTCCGACGTATTTAAAAAATCTATTGTTACCCCTTTCTCTCCTCCAACCTATTCTCCACATTGCAACCAGAGGGTTCTCCTAGAAACCAACTCTGATCTTGCCGCCTTTCAATTGATCAATGTTCCATCCATGGGTTCTTGTCGCCCACTGGATGAACCCAAACTTCTTCACAAGCCTACAAGGCCCTCTGTGATCCTGGCCATACCCGCCTCTCCAGCCTGCCACTCCCTGCCTCCCTCTCTTCTCTCGTGTATCTTGGCTGCCTCTCAGTGTTTCAGATGCACAGGGCTCTTTCTCCCCACACTGAGCCTCCACGCATGCTCTTTCCTCTGCCTGTAGCCTCCCAAGGTCAGAGCTGAGGGCTTATCTGGCCAAAGACTGTGATGAGCTCCTCTGCTATATGTTCCCTGGTTCTCTCTCACTTTCCATAACATAGCACCCTTAACACCTTTGTGTAATTTCTTCTCTGAAGTCCATGATTCCTATAAAAATAGGGACCATGTCTACCTCTTCACTTCTGTATCCCAAGGGCTTAGCCGGGTACATGGTAGACTATCAACAAATAACTGTAGAATGAATGAGTGAATGACAGAACCATTTGGAGGGAATAGCATAGTAGCCATCGTGGCAAAACCTTCAAAATATCAGCTTTATTGAGGTAGAATTCACATACAATACAGTTCACTCATTCAAAGTATACAATTCCATGGATTTTAGCAACTATCACCACAATCAATTTTAAAACTTTTTTTATCACCCCAGAAGAGACCCTGAATTCATTAGCAATCAGTCTTCAGTTCCTTCTATGTTATTTTTAAAAGATAATAAACCTAACGTCGGTAGAGTGTTCCAAAGTGAACAGAGATACAATTCCATGGATTTTAGCAACTATCACCACAATCCATTTTAGAACTTTTTTATCACCCCAGAAGAGACCCTGCATTCATTAGCAATCATTCTTCAGTTCCCTCTATGTTATTTTTAAAAGATAATAAACCTAATGTTGGTAGAATGTTCCAAAGTGAACAGAATAGTTCATGTGTGCTCACTGATTCTTAAACAATTCTGTGAGGTGGGCATTTTAATGCATCTATTACTGAGTTTAAACTTCAGTTTCAACTTTATGGAGTGAAACCTTTAATCAATAAAGAATTTAATCTGAGCCCTGAGCCCAGTGTGGCTCAGGTGGTTGGAACATCATCTTATGCACCGGACGGAAGGCTGAGGGTTCGATTCCCAGTCAGGGCACATACCTAAGTTTCGAGTTCGAACCTGGTGGGAGCTCAAACGGGAGGCAACCAACCAATCAATGGGTCTCTGTTCTCTCTCTTTCTCTCTCTCTCTCTCCTTTCTTTCCTCCCTCCCTCCCTCTCTAAAATCAAAAAAATTTTTTAAAGAATTTAATCTGAAGGGAAAAGGAGGGTTGGTGGGAGTAGCCAAGGGGACCAGAATCTCCTGTGTATGGACTGGAAAGGCATGAGACTGGATGCTTCATATGTATTTTCACATGGACTTGGGGTGCTTTAAGGCATGGTGAGTGTTTACATAACTCATAACTGGTGCAGAAAGTCAGTTAGGGGATCAGAAGGTAGAAATATATTGTATAAAGTATATAGCCTTTGAAATAATAATAAAAGATCTGAATTTGAATCGTGATTCTGCTACTTACCACAACTCTATAAATTTGGGCAAGTTAACCTTCTCAATTTTCAGTTTCTTTGTAAAACAGTATCTTCCTTATAAGTTGTTGTGAGAATTAAATGAACTAATGTATATGAAGCAACTGGTGCCCTTGCTGGTGCTCAGTAAATAATAAAACATTTTATTACTAACTAGAGGCCCAACGCACGAAAATTCGTGCAAGAGTAGGCCTTCCTTCCCCAGGTTGCCAGCACCGGCTTCCCTCCAGCACCTGGGATCTAGCCTGGCTTTCCTTCAGCCCTGGCTTCGTCAGGAAGGATGTCCGGAATGACGTCCGGAAGGCGTCCAGTCTAATTAGCATATTACCCTTTTATTATTATAGATAATAAACAGACTTGAAGCATAAATTAAAATACTCATGGACATAACAATATACAATTACTGAGAAATGACAATTCATTGCTATCCAGATTGAAGTGAAATGGACAGGCTCCAATACTGCCAATGGAATGCATGTTCTAAGAGCAGAAGATCGATACAATGCAAAAGCTATAAAGACACTTTTCTTTGACTTAGATATCTACCCCTGGAACTTGATCCTAAGGAAATAGTCTAAAATAAGCCCCCCCCCAATAAATCAGTGTGTACAAAATTATCCATCATGATGGTGTCTCCAATAGTAAAAACACTGGAAACAATGGAATGATGACCCAAGGGACACTGATATCAGCAAAATGGGAAGTTAGGCAGCCCTTAAAAGTTCCATGAAAACTTTTTTGGGCACAGAGGGACCCTGTACCCTAAGGTGGGAGCAGGCCTGGAAGAGTGTGGAGAGAGAAAAGCTAGCAGAGTCCCTGAGATACAGCTAAAAGGGCAGGTGGCTGCCAGGGAGTGGGAGCCTTATAGATTTGTTCAGAGTCTTGGATTTCATCCCAAGTGCAATGGGAAGCCAGTGGAGGGTTTTAAGCAGAAGGTGACATAACAAGAACTGTGGGTTTTATTTTTTAAAATATATTTTTATTGATTTCAGAGAGGAAAGGAGAGGGAGAGAGAGATAG